AGCCTTTCATCCCTTCAGTAACCAGGGAGGATGAGGAAGCTCGCTAAAGATAAAGTGGTTAATTATCACCTGCTTAGAGCTTGCTGGAGTCCCTTCACCAGAGTCTCAGTTTCTAAATTTACTCAACAAATATTTATTACTATTGACTAGATTTAATGTTCTCTATGAGGTGCAACATAGGTGAAAAGATGAATAAATTAAAAGTCCCTGATCATAGGGAACTTACTCACAACCTAGTGAAAATACAAATCATATACCCAATAGCAACTCTTATTTATTAAACACTTTTAAGGGGAAGCTAGGTGGCACAGTGGATGGAACACCAGCCCTGGAGTCAGGAGGACCTGAGTTCAGATCGGTCTCAGACCAGATTTGGGGGGGAAAAGGGTTTTCTGCACAACAAGCTTATAAGGCAGGTAAAACAAGTATTATTATCCCCATTTTGCAAAGGGGTAAACTGAAGCCCAGAAAGATGAAAGTAACTTATCTCAACCATGGTCAGATTCAAAGCTGGGATTTGAACCCACATCTGCTGCTTCCTGGTCTAATGTCCTTTCTGCTCCACCCACACTGCCTGCCCCATCTTCACTGCCTACCTGTGTAGTGTAAGGACAGGCTGTTACAAGGTCCAAGGAAGGGTGACATCAGATTTAATAATACTGATGGGGATCTGGGAAAGCCTCAAGCAGGCCATGACATTTCAGCTGGGTCTCAAAGAACAGACAGGATTTGGGCAGGTGGAAAGTAGACAATTTGAAGAATTATGTACCTGGAGGTAATGAGAAGCAATTGATGAACTGTGGTACCTTAAGTCTCTGAAGACACAAAGAGCTATAAAAATGCTCAGGATAATTAATCATATCCTAGCCTGTTTATCAAAAGGCAATTTCCTTATCTCCCATCCCCTGCATTCCTATCCCTGCTAGGAATTCCTGATTCCCTTCATCACCTGTATATCATCCCCCATTTTCCTCTGGGGGAAGTCATCCCTTGTTCATGCATCAATTTTATCATTCACCCACGAACAGTATGGGATGGAGTATTTGTGGAAGGCAGGATTTACCAAATAACTCATAATATTAAATAATCTGCATTTATAAAAAGCTTCATTTTTTAAAAACTTTCATACATTCATATATTATTTCATTTGCTCACCACAACAATTCTGAGGTCAACAAGGTAGATGTATTGCCTCTAATTTACAAATGATGAAATCAAGACTCAGAAAACTTAGTAGTGACTTAACCATGGTCACATGACTTTATAAAAAGACCAAATAAGCCTAGAATGCGGATCTCTGATCTCTTGTCCAGTAGCTTTTTCCATTATATCATACTGCCTCCATCACAGTCTCTAGCAAGACAAATCAGGGGTCTTGCCACCTCCAGATTTTCACTGTTGTTGGAGATCTTCCACCTCCTGCCTTTTTTCCTTAAACAGACTCGGTACAAGTGGGTCCTATGTACTCACAGCTGGTTTGTTCTTACCTTCGACACCAAACTTTCCACTTGTCCTTGTTCAAACCTGGCTGACCCATAACAACCAACTTCAGAGCCTAAAACCAGGGGTTCTTGAGGACCATAAACTTTTTAAAAAATACTTTAAAGACTGTATTTCAAGATTCTTCATAATCCTGTTTTATTTTATGCCTTTATTATGAGAAGAGGTCCATAAGCTTTACCTGCCAAAGGGATCAAAGACATAAAAAAGGTTAAGAACCCTTGATCTAAACAAATGTTTTGGCTCTTCCCTTTCATTCTCTTTCCTCTAGGGCTGCCCAATAATTTCAGGACATTTGTGTATCTTTTCTCCCCTAACTATATTTTCAGTCCTGCAGCGAGTGAGTGGACTGAGTCTCTCTGTAAAGTCTATGCACACAGTAGGTGTCAACAAAGTATTATAACAGGAGCAAACAGCAACCCCACATTCATATGAGCTCATACACATTTTCCCTGGACCACACCTCCTAGCATTCTCCCACCCCCAAAACGAAACCAAATTCCAACCTCTAAGAAGCTTCACTAAAAGGAAACCTGTCTTTAGCACTTAAAAATTACCCCCCTCTGAGGGCAGGCACAATAAAGTTGGAGCTGTAAACTGGTCTAACCATTCCGGAATACAATTTGGAATCATACCCAAAAAGCCACTAAACTGCACATGTTCTGTATAACCCAATGATACCACTACTAAATAGATATCCCAAGAATGTCAAAGACAGAGGGAAAGGTCCCACAGATACAAAAATAATTACTGCATCATTTTTTGTGGTAGCAAAAGAACTGGAAATGAAGGAATCACTTACCAAGTGGGCGAACAGATTATAGAATCATAGATTTAGTATTGGAAGGGACCTTAGAGGTCACGTAGTCAGATGAAGAAACAGAAGTCCAAATAGCATAACTTGCCCAAGGTAATAGTGGCAGTGAATGGCAGGCCCAGGATTATAATATGAATCTCCTGGGACTCCTAGTTCAGGGCTCTTTCACCACATAAATTATGGTATATGAATGTTAAGGAATATGTGTACCCTAAGAAATGATGAATATGAAAAGTTTAGAGAAACTTGAGAAAATGTGCATGAACAGATATGTATTGAAATAAGCAAAACCAAGGGATCGATTAACACGATGACAATAGTAATATAAAAAAAATTCAGAATTCTTATGAAGTAACTAGTCACGATTTCAAAAGAATGATGTTGAATCACGCCTCCTAGCAAAGAGGTGGTGGGGTCTCATTGGAGAACGAAACATACCTATTTTCACACATGGTTAATGTGTTATCTTTCTTGACTATACAAGAGAGGGCCATCAATGGGAATAGAGGGATATGTGTTTGGGTTTGTTTTTTTAAGATCAATAAAACAGCACCAAAAAAATTTTCCTCTCAATTCCCAACTAGTCCGGGAAAATAAGCCTATTTTTAATATGGCCACATTTGCCCTCTGACTCCCCCACATTTATCCCCTTTCTAAAGTGCATGTGGGCAGTAGGGTGGGGTGCTGGAGAAGGTGGTTAAATGACTTAGTTACATTACAAAGGAGTGGGGGGGGGCAGTAGAAAATGAAGTCTACTGAAGACTATATATGGCAGAGAACGGGGAGCAAGCCAGACACTCCCAGGCCCCAAGGTTGCCACATTTGTAGGAAGCAGTGAGCCAAGCCTTTAGCGTATGTGTTTTAAATTACCTTTGATTGTCTGATGAAGTGACTAAAAGGGAAATGTTTCAGGGCTTAGGATTCCAGAGTGAGCTAATACAGGATGCCTTTGGCTGAAGGTGGGGGGGAGGGAGTTCAGCTGGCTCGAGCCCACCCCCCCCATTCCTTTTAAGTTTAAAAAAGGGAATGAACGTTACCATTTTTGGACATGAGCGTTCTCCTTCTAGCCCAGCCCTAAAACCGCACTATCCTCCCCATTCGGAAGATCAGCTGGAATTGGGGGAATGGGAAGTGGGGGAGGAGTCCGAGGGAAGGAGTGGGGTGGTGGCCAAAGGGAGGCGGGAGTCGTGAGTTTGCAAAGGCAAGACCGTCGGCGAGGTAGCACGCCCCGGAGACCTGGGATGTCCAAGGGAGGCAGCCCAACTAGCTTCCTGGGTCCCGCTCGCACGGTGGAGTTCCGACAGTGGTGGGGGGTGGGGGCGGGGAAGGAGAGCCTTCCGGCTCCAAATCACCTTTTCAGCCAGTCCTGACTCCCTGACCTCGTGGTGTCGAGTCTAGACGCGCTAGAGCTCACACGCGATTTGGGCACACAGTAGGGCTCTCCATAAAGATGCTTGAGAAACCAATATTTATCTGCACTTCCTCCTCGGAGCCCAGGGGCCAAGAACCTTAGGAATTCCTAGGGATTCACCCTTCCCCCAAGAACGGGGAGAAGGGGGAGGGGGTAAAGGTAGGGTAGGAAAGGGATGGTGAGAGACAGAAGCAGGTACAAATACTAAGTAGATAGAAGTCCCTGGGTTGCTAACCGCAAAAGGGAACTTCTCCCTACCCTGAATTGGGCAATACAACGGTCTGATTTTCCTCATTCCACCCCCTTAGAGAATCTCCAAGCTACCTTTCCTTTTTTTTTTTTTGGCCTCTTGTTTAAGAAGAGTCGAAAAACCGATCCGAGCTAACACAGCCGGTCCCCGTTTTCCTCCCACCCACCCCACATCACGAAGACACAAGCACAGCCACCTCCTACACGCTCTCGGGGAGAGACCCTAAAGCGAGTCCGCCGCTCCCCCTCCCTCCCTCCCTACCCACCCACTCCTGCCAGCTCGGGGGTCGGAGCTACGTGGGCCGCTGTGCTGGCGGATCCGGGGGAGTTGGTGGGAAGCAGCGGACGGGGGCAGGAGAGGAGGCTGGCACGCAGCTACAGCTGCGCCCTTAAGATGATATACCCCCAGGTACGGAGCAGAGGGCAAGCAAAGGAAACCAAACAGCCGCTGAACGCCATATGGAAGAGACGCACAGGGGGCGAGAGAAGGAGAATGGGGAAGGGGGAATGGATCTTTTCAACCACCGATGTTGGTGGTGTACTCGGCCTGAGCTCAGCGCGCCCACCCCCAACCCACGTCTCTTCCCAATACTCCCGGGCCTTCCAGACTCGAGCTAGGGGGCGGGGACGCCTGGATCCGGGTCACAACAGGAAAGCTGCCCGCTAATCGGCCTCATCTCCCCCTGCAACCCAACCCTCGCCCCTCAAGATTGCAGCTCCCTCCACGTTTTCTACTCGAGTGCACACTGGGGAAGCGAAATTTACAGAAGCACCGGGGAAGCCCAACCCAGACAGCACCTCCTCCACTACCACCCATCCACCCACCCACCCCCCTTTTCCTGCTAAATGCCTGAAACCCAACACTCCAATCAATCCTTTAGCGCCCCTGCAAGCCTTGGCTGGTGCCCTCCCACGGCTCGCCGCGGACTCTTCCTGGGATGCAGGGGCTAGGGAGGGCGGCGATCACATCAGCAGGGAGCGGACTGGGGGAGGATGGAGAGGACGGTGGTTGGCTTTGCTCACCTTTCTTTGCTGCTTCTCCCAGGCGGGGTCAAGGAGCAAGTCTCTGTCCCAGTCCTCTTCCGGCTGCATGTAGTCGTTGGTCTGTTGGGAATCATAATGATCCATGGTCGAATTCGCGTCCTTGGGTTTCGTCCTCCACCTTCTTTCCAGGCTGTGGCTACTGCCACAGTGTGAGTGGGTTTGGGCTGGTCGGGTGAACTCCCCTCCGCCTGGCTACAGCGCGGCTAGTGAGGAGCAGAGAGAAGGGCTGGCTACAGGGGGCGGGGGAGGGGGGCGGGAAGAGGCAGCAGCGGCTACGAAGGCAGCTCCCTCAATACCTGAGCTCAAACCTAATCTTCGCGCACACGCAGCCGGAGGGAGAGGAGGAGCGCTGCCGAGGAGCGGGCAAAGCCCTCCCAAACAGCTTGATTGGCTAATCTGAGTAGCCCAAACTTCCCATCGTCGCCTCTCATTGGGGCTTCCTGATGTCCCTCAGCCTCACAAGTGCTGATATAGGTTGATTTGGGCGAATAACTCCCTCTCCTCTCCTCCTCACCCTCCTTTCCCTATTCCCTCTCTTTCCCCCTCCCTCTTTTTCTCCTAACATCTCCCTCACTCTTCCCTCTTCTCCCTGCCCCCTTCCTCTAACCCCCAACCCTCCCTTTCTCTCTTCTTTACTCCCTCCCTTCTTCAGCACGTTTGATACTAACAACAAGCCTGTGAATTGGGTAGATAACTGGTAAAGCGAGAAGCAGGGCTTTTTGACTTCCGGGAAAGTGCTCTTCCTACTCGAGTCAAGTTAAGTCAGGCGAGCGCCTGCTCTGTGCCAGGCAGAGTGGTTGCTCTGGCGATACCGAGAGAGGCAAAAGCAGTCCCTGAGCTCAAAGAGACTCAGTCTGATGGGGGAGACAGCATACAAACAACTATGTCTAAACAAGCAATATACAATGTAAATGGCAAGTCATCTCAGAAGGCATTAGCTTTAAAGGGGAATTGGAAAGGCTTTAGCAGAAGGTGAGATATTACCATGATACTGCCCTCCCTCCCACCCCCAGCACCATTTGCAGCAACAATTCCCTGCCCGGCCACTCTTGATGATTTCTCTGTCACTTTATTCCTCAGCAGAGCTTTATTAGGGAACGGGGAAGAACCGGGGTACATCGGACCAACCATTTTCCCTCGGATATGTGCTTCCCTTGCTTTCTCTTCACTCTTTTAGAATAAGCTATTAACTTCTCACCTTGCTTCTCGAGATAAGTTTCTTCAGGGTAAGGACTTTGTTGATTAACTGACTGGTTTGTCGAATTACTGTACTTTCTCATACTATCCAGTCCATGTTTCCTGGATGCCAACTGAGTTGTTACTGTGTACTGGCCTAGGAGAAAGTTAGCTCAAGAAAGTGTTGATCCAATTAAAACTGCAGAGGGAAATGAGTTTCAGAGAAGATCCTGAGTCCTAATTCTGGATTGATCGCATAGTCTTTTGCTGTTATTGATATTTTGTCTTTCATCCCATTCATTTTGGAACATATCCCTTCCCTCCCTCAGTCTCCTACCCAATAATCTATTGGCTCTTAACGAAGATTTAAAAAGTAGGAGAAAGAGCAATTCAACAAAACCACCCAACACAACCATTTCAACTAACATTATACCTACTTTTCCACACCCAACTCCTCCACCTCTACAAGGAAGGAATGGAGGTGCATTTTTTTCAATTCTTCTCCAGGGCCAAGGTCGGTTGTGATAATTACTAAACATTCCACTTTATTTTGTGGCTCTTTCCATTTGCATTGCCATAGTCTGAGTATGTTGTTTTTCTGATTCTGCATTAGTAATCAGAAATCCACTGTTGCCTTGAAGTCATATTCATCATTTTTTTTATGGTACGGTGATATCCCCTTACATTCAGATTCAACAATTTGTTTTATCTAGTCCCCAATCAGTGGTGCCCCCAGAAGTTTAAAACTGAAAGCGATGAGACCCCTAAGCTTTGTACAATTCATTCTAAAAATGACACTTCCCCAGGAGCCTGCTATCCTGAGACTGTTACAGTGACCTTTGAAGGAAGGAATTTCCTCAGAGGAAGAGACCTAGTTTCTAGTTCTTCCAGTATCATATATGGTCTGGAGGAAGAGAAAGTACCTTACATTCCAAAGAGAGTTAGGAATGTTGCAACTATACATATATGTGTAGTTGCTACTCTTATGATTATTCTTAAATTGCATCTCCTATTTCTGGGTTGTGTTACAAAATTGTCTTGGACCTTTATACAAAAATTAGCCCAGCACCAGAGATTACCAGGTTATTTCCTAATCATTTCTAACTTGGGCAATGTGAGACATTCAACAAGCATTTATTAAGTGCCTAGGACGTGCCAAGCTGTGCTAAATGCTACTCGTACAAAGAAAGGGAAAGAAAATCACCTGCTTTTAAAGAGGTCACAACCTAATGACAGAGACAATATGCCAACAGCTATGTACAAATGAACTTTAGACATGATAAATTGGAGATAATCAACAGAGAGAAGGCACTACCATTAAGGGAAGTCAGGAAAGGATTCTCATAGAGGGTAATGTTTGAACTGGGACTTGGAAGAAGCCAAGGAAGCCAGGAGACAGAGCTGAAAAGGAAATTTTAAGCCACGAAAAATGTCCAGAGTCAGAAGATGGTGTGTCTGGTTTCAGGAACAGCAAGGAGAGTATTAGAGGGTAGAGAGCAAGGTGAAAGAAGTTTGGAATGGCAGGTAGGGCCAGGTTATGAAGGACTTTGGATGCCAAGCAGATGATGTATTTGCTCCTGAAGATGATATGGAGCCGCTGGGTGACACAGTCAGATCTACATTTTAGGAAGATTAGTTTGAAAGCTGAAAGGACAAGAACGTGGCCCGGGGGGGGGGGGGGGAGGCAGCTGCTTCCCGAGCTTCCGGCCCACTGACTGAGGGGGAATTCAGTGGCTGATCAGAGAGGGATTGCAGGGATCTCTTTGCCAGTGCTGAGGCAGGAATCTCTTGCTTTGCCCGTGTTTGGATCTGGGTCACAGTTCTGGGAGGAGGTGCTGGGGTGAGGAGGAACACTGGTGTGGTGGAGCTTGGAGTGGCTGTGGAGAAGAACCCTTCCTCACAGTTACAGGACAGAAAGGAATACTTGTGGTCACAGGCCAGGAAAGGAGTAAACACCTCGCCCCTTATCATACCACCTTGGTAGAACTGAAAATGTACAGGTCCCTACAAGTATCTCTGAAAACAGCTGTACAAACCCCCGAAGCTTGGGACAGTACATTCTCCACATTGGAAGCAGACTTTTACCTTAAAAAAGAGTTTAAAACTCAAGTAATTGGCTGGGATCATGAGCAAGCAGTGCAAAAAGAGTCAGACCATAGAATCTTACTTTGGTGAAAAAGAAGATCAAAATACACAACCAGAAGAAGACAACAAAGTCAAAGCTCCTACATCCAAAGCCTCCAAGAAAAATATGAATCAGTCCCAGGCCTTGGAAGAGCTCAAAAGGGATTTTGAGAAGCAAGTAAGAGGTAGAGGAAAAACTGGGAAGAGAATAAGAGTGATGCAAGAAAATCACGAAAAACAAGTCAACAGCTTGCTAAAGGAGACCCAAAAAAATACTGAAGAAAATAACACCTTAAAAAATAGCCTAACCCAAATGGCAAAAGAGGTCCAAAAAGCCAATGAGGAGAAGAATGCCCTAAAAAGAAAAATTGGCCAAATGGAAAAGGAAGTCCAAAAGATTACTGAAGAAAATACTTCCTTAAAAATTAGAATAGAGCAATTGGAAGATAGTGACTTTATGAGAAATCAAGACACAGTAAAACAAATCCAAAAGAATGAAAAATTAGAAAACAATGTGAAATATCTCATTGGAAAAACAACTGACCTGGAAAATAGATCCAGGAGAGAGAATTTAAAAATTATTGGACTTCTGAAAGCCATGATCAAAAAAAGAGCCTAGACATCATCTTTCAAGAAATTATCAAGGAAAACTGCCCTGATATAGTAGAACCAGAGGGCAAAATAGAAATTGAAAGAATCCACAATCTCCTCCTGAAAGAGATCCCCAAAGGAAAACTCCTAGGAACATTGTAGCCAAATTCCAGAGTTCCCAGGTCAAGGAGAAAATATTACAAGCTGCCAGAAGGAAACATTTCCAAGTACTGTGGAAACACAATCAGGATAACACAAGATTTAGCAGCTTCTACATTAAAGGACCACAGGTCATGGAATATAATATTCCAGAGGGCAAAGGAGATAGGATTACAACCAAGAATCACCTACCCAGCAAAACTGAGTATAATCCTTCAGGGGAAAAATGGTCATTCAGTGAAATAGAGGACTTTCAAGCATTCTTGATGAAAAGACCAGAGCTGAATAGAAAATGTGACTTTCAAATACAGGACTCAAGTGGAACATGAAGAGGTAAACAGGAAAGAGAAATCATAAGAGACTTATTAAGACTGAACTGTTTACATTCCTGCATGGAAAGATGATATTTATAACTCATGAGACCTTTGTCAGTATTAGGGTAGTTGGAAAAAAATTATATGTATGTATAGGTAGATAGATAGATAGATAGATAGATAGATAGATAGATAGATAGATAGAGGGCACAGGGTGAGCTGAAGATTAAGGGGTCATATCTGGAGAATAAAATTAAGGGATGATAGAGGATTATACTCGGAGAAGAAGAAAGGGAGAGGTAGAATGGGGTAAATTATCTCACAAAAAAAAAACAACAGAAAAGTCTCTTACAGTGGAAGGGGAAACCAGGGAAGGTAAGAGGGAATGAGTGAATCTTATTCTCATAGGATTTGCCTTAAGGAGGGAATAACATACACGTTCAATTGGGTATGGAAATCTGTCTTACCCTATAGGAAAATAGGGGGAGAAGGGGACAAGAGAGCAGGGGCAGATTGGGAAAGGGGATAATCAGAAGTAAATACTTCTGAGGAGGGACAGGGTCAAAAGAAAGAATAGAATAAATGGGAGGGCAGGATAAGATTAAGAGAAATAGAGTTAGTTTTTCACGACATGTCTACTATGGACATGTTTTGTACAACTGCACGTATACAACCTATATTGAGTTGCTTACCTTTTCAATGAGGGTGGGTGGGGAGGGAGGAAGAGAAAATTTGAAACCTAAAGTTTTAAAAACATATGTTTTTAAAAAAAATGTTTTCACATGCTACTGGGAAATAAGAAATACAGGAAATGGGGTACAGAAGTCTATCCTGCCCTACAGGAAAATAGAAGGGGAAGAGGGTAAGAGAAGGGGAGAGAGATAGAAGAGAGGACAGACTAGGGGAAGGGATATTCAGAATGCATGCCATCTTAGGGTGGG